ACAGAGTTTGTGTGACAGTTCTAGGGAAGGTACATGATGGTGTTAGAGGAATCTTCCAAGATTTTGAAGGCCCCGTTTCCCGTTCTACAACAACCCTTCAGACAGCAACAGGTTCTTTTGAGATGAGGAAATGAATAATGGCTGTAATTTCCAGTAACTAGCCAGGGCATAGCTAACTATCTTTAATTGTTGCTGACAGGAACATAGTTGTGTTCCCAATTGCACTTTGCAACCTCTCTGAATACTCTCAATTCTACTTGAAAATCACATCATGTAGTTGAGACATGCTGCTTTAATATGAGGGTTTAATGAGCTTGTCAAAGCCCTTTTGTACTATTGGTATCCATATTTTTGAGAGACCTGGAGTTTGCTGTAACTCATGCATCTCTTGGAACTAGAAGCGTTAGTTAAGTACACCAACCAATTAGTGATTACAGGCTAAGCAGTGTGTCTCAGTCAGTTACAACTGCAAGATAGGAACTTTGCAGGGGTGGGGAAGAGGAAAGAGGAAACCTGTGGGCCAGGTATGTGCAGGGATGTCACTTAGGTTTTGGATTTATTATTTTTTTTTCTTTACATCCAGAGATTCTCTTCAGATCTTTACCTGTAGCTGTTTATTCAAAATCCATCTTATTTTAACTTATATAAATTCCTCCAAATAGGATGTCCTGAAAGTTTGAGATTGACACTGCGTTCTAAATTGTGTATTTCCAAGACTGTCTAGTATTACTGTCTTCTGATGTATTTCTTTTTAGTAGCTTTTTCCTGTGGGATTCCCCTCCTGTATTTTAGGGGAATTTCTAAATGGTTTGGCCTCAGACTTCAGTTTTTCCTTCACATCTTCACTTCAGGTTGCTTTCACAATTCTGCTTTTGTCTACAATGTTTTGTCTGCTGTCTTGTTTCATTGTCTCTATTGTACCTGCCAGTTTTCCCTTAAAGCGAATGTGGCTAAAATAAATGAGCTTTAACTCAAGTTCCTTCCACTTGCCATCTTCTTTCTAATTCAGATCTGTGACTTCATGTTCATCTGCATGTTTTTCCTTCCACTTTGGCGCTGGAGCAGTAGAAGGATTTTGCTACAAAAAGCCTCCTCCTTTCTTCCTGATTAGAATCTTGGCTTCTGATTTCATGCCTGTGGCAACCAGCCTCTTGTATTTTAATGCAGTGGGAGGTGTTCCTCAGGTGAGGTAATCCTTATGCAGATATTCCATTCCTACCTCAGTGTTGTGTCCTCTTTTTTCAAAGCCTTTTCTGCCAGGGCTGTGTCCCAGCGTGACACACTACAGCTCGCCCCATGCATTTGACATTATCTGAAGAGCGTGCAGTGACAGCAGCCTTGCCACAAAAGCTCTGCCCTTTTTGTGCTGCGTCTTCCTGGAACTAACCACTAGAGCCCCTGGCTGCTTTGAACTTCACATTGGTGATACTGGGGCACAGCTGACTAGTGACAGGTGAAGGAAGGCAATATTACTGTGTGCAGCAGAATCATAATGTCTGTAATCTTAATGCTGTTTCAAAATAGATCGAAGCTTCTGGGCTCCTTTTTATATATTGTTTTTCTTTTACTTGACCTTGCGTCACTAAATTGTAGAGTCTTTCCTGGCTTGTGGAGAAGTTGGCGTGTAGGTTTCTGGTGTGTTAACGTTTGCGGTAGGGGTGGTAGCTGTAAGCTGTCAGCTTCCTCAATCGTTTTCAACTTCCTGCTTTGAGAAAGTGATTTAGTAGTGTTTGAAGTTGCATGAAGTCATACTGGTAATCTTCAGTCTTGAAGTTGCTGTGCTGCCAGGCAAGTGCTGTTGCATTGCTCTAGAATGCGTTAACATTAAATGGGAATGAGTCTCACCTGGAAAGCTCTTCAGCTGAGGACGATCTATATCATAGAAGGTTTGAGTTGGAAGGGACCTTAAAGATCATTGAGTTCCTGCCCCCCTGCCATGGGCAGGGACACCTCCCACTAGACCAGGTTGCTCAAAGCCCCATCCAGCCTGATCTTGAACACCTCCAGGGATGGGGCAGCCACAGCTTCTCTGGGCAACCTGTTTCACCACCCTCACTGTAAAGAATTTCTTCCTTATATCTATTATAAGTTTCCCCTCTTTCAGTTTAAAACTGTTACCCCTCGTCCTATCGCTGCAAGCCCTGATAAAGAGTCCCTCCCCATCTCTCCTGTAGCCCCCTTCAGGTACTGGAAGGGGCTATGAGGTCTCCCCAGAGCCTTCTCTTCTCCAGGTTGAATAACCCAAACTCTCTCAGCCTGTCTTTTGGGTCTATCAGTAGTTTGACAAAGATGAGCACTTAACCGTATGAAGTTATTTGTAGATGCTTCATAGTCTCCTTTCTGTTCTTTTTCCCTTCCTGCTGTTGGAAAGAAAGGAAGAAGTAGTAGAAACATCACTCTGATTCTTAGCCGTGCCCTTGGTCTTATATATTTTTTTTTAATCCAAAGTAGGCAAAGCAAATAGAATTAAGTCAGTTTCAAAACTTGAGATTGACTGTTCTTTGTCAGATGGGAAATTAAAATCATTGCTTTATAATAATGAGACTTTGTAATTGCATGATGTGCAAGAAACTGTCCTGAAAGAGCCATTGTGTTGCTGCAGTGATGGAAATGTGTGTGTCATGAGGAAGTGGAGTTGCATGAAATATGTGTATTATAAGGTTCTGTCTTTTCTTTAAATGTGAGATCTGAAACAAAGGAAAAACAGTTGACTGGGAAGAGGTGGGAGAATTTGCAATATATGTTTGATTAGAAAGGGAGGTGGAAAAGGGGGGACTGGATGAGCCTGGATTGATTCAGTAAATAAACTACTAGTGAAACAAATGCAGCAATTGGAAATTGCAGAAAAGAGTCTTTTGGAACCTGAAATAGCAGGTTGCTATTTTGATTACAGTAGTCTTGTAGGTTTGTTGAAGATATCCCTTTTGTCTTTCAAAGAGGACATGCACTTCAATTTCTTGCCTGTTACACTAAGTATTATTGTAAACACTTGAAATGTGCGTGGAAGTTCTCAAGCCCAGCAAGGCACGCCAGCTATCCAGAGAGCTAGGAGTGGGTCTAGCCTGCACAGCGTGGAAGCTGGCCTTGTTGCCTTTGGCACTCCTTTGTATTGTGTAAACATACCTTAGGACAGAAAAGAGCACGGGCAAGTAAATGCCAAAAAGACAGTAAATTCAAAGTGTTAGAGAGCTAGTAAGTGTTACACATTTTTTTCACTAGATGCAAATAATCTCAGAAAGTACAGTAATTTGTGTAATTGTTTCCATAGAACTGTAAAAATTGAGTGATTCTTGTGCTTTCCAAGTATTTTCAGCACTATAAATATGCGATGGGCTCTTAGCTTTTCTTGTGGGCAGAGTGCCTGTGAAGATTTTAAGGATTTCTACGAAATCAGTTTTAATGAGCAGCGTGATACTGGCCAGAGCCTAAGCCACGTGGACTATAGTATGTGGCAGTGGCTATTTGCATTGTTACAAACAGCTTCCGTTTTTGTTTGAAAACCTGGCAGCTAATAAAAATCTTCTCTTGCATTTGCAAGCATAGCTTTCTAATCTCAGTGTTTACGAGGGAAGAGTGTTTCAGAGCATGCTTTAAACAAAGTGATCGGTGGTTTGGGTGAGATATTCCTGGTCATTTTATAAGCATGCTTCTTGGGAAGCTTTTGTAAGAAGTGACCTTAAGGGTAGTAATTAAAAAAAAAAAAAAGAAAAAACAAGCCAAAAACCCCCCACATTCTAAAGCTGTTTATAAAACAAACTTAGTTCAAGTTCTAGAATTGCAGAGGAAGGATCAGCTAATAATCTGGTAACAGAGCTGTGAGAAATAACTTCTGTGTTGCTGATGTCGTTGACATAAATGAAACAAGAATTTTTTGCTGACTGTTTTGTATGGAAGCATAGCTGATTAGGCTGTCAAAGGTTCCTAAGTTACAGTGTGTGGCGTGCAAACATACTCACTTGGAGTATGAAGTCTGTCATTACTCCTAGAAGAAACACTCATTTAACCATTTCTGCATATGCGTAAGCTCTAGTTAGAGCTGTAGATCTTGCAGTCCATTGTTGTCTTTTGCTGAAGCACATTTCCAAGTTTGGTTCTAGTCCAAAGATAAAACTTAAACATGCCAATTTTGAGTATGTGAATGGTTGTGACTTTTCCTCTGATCTGTTTGCTGAGGGAGGAGGAATTTTCAGCTAAACTTCTAGAGCCTTTAAACTGGAATACTTCTTTCTTCAGTCATAGAATTCTGATGTTAAAATAAATGAATGGAGAATGACCAGCAGAGGCCTCAGCATGTCCTGTAGAACAATATGTTCTCATTGTTTCGCTCTATGCGCATTATCTCTTGTCCCTTGTTTTTGATGCTTGACTGTATACCCCTTAGGACAGAGACAGTCCCTTTGTTCAGTGTTCAAAGGAGAACTAAAGGATCAGGTGCTAGGATACAGATTATAAGTTAAACCAAAATGTTTCCTGTTCAAGGCTACAGAAATAGTGGATGTATTCTGTGCACTTCAGCACTGTTCCTTGGCTGTTAAGATACTTGATGCTTACTGCTTGCTACATCTTTGTGTTTGGGAAAACAGCAGTTGCAGATTGCATAGTGCTTGATTTCTTTATTTCAGGTGAAAGTTACTTAAATATGAAAAGATTAATCCTGAGTTGTACATTTGTGTGACAAAGTAAAATTTTCCATGTACCTAACATGTCTGAAAGTGAAGGTATTTTCTTTCCTGGCATATCAGCTGGTATATCCCCATGTAGCAGCATAGGCATCACTTTTTTCCAGAAGTCCATGGGTAACCATATGTTAGCAGTATTACACTGCATTCAAAATAGTTAATTCAAAGGTAAAACTTGTGCTTTCTTTGTATTTTTGGGATTGTGCTGTAGATACAGTAAAAAAATAGAAATAGCATAGTATGTGGTATTTTGTTACATGCTTCATCTTATGCTTGGTTTGTGTGTCTTCATCAACTTTTTTTTTCCCCTCTCCTTTTCAGGCTATATACATCCCCAAAGAAGAAACCAACTCCAGTGCAAAAATCTGTCAGTCCATTGATTTGGTGCAGGCAGGTAATGGATTACCCAAGTCCTGACATTGAATCTGCTAAAAAGTCACTGATCCACAGGCTGGAACAGACAATGTTGGGTGAGTTCCTGCATACTAACACCACTGGGTTGTATGTAGTTATTCTGAAACAGTGCCAGAATTAGCTGGTAGATAGCGTGAGAGAAGAGGGTGAGATCCAGCAATTACCTTCTACTACATTTGTCATTATGATATACAAATATTAATTCATTCTGCTCATTTTCTGGACTGTATGAATAAAATTAAAGGAAGCACTAAGCCATGAGACATGATTTCAGAGTTTTACACCACGTGCATAGTTACAATTTGGTCAGAAGTTTTCAGGAAGGAGCAATGTCCTTAACTTGAAGGTTTTCTTGTCTTTAAAATAGAAGCCTGTATTAAACTATCATCATTGTTAGGTGTTTGTTGGTATGTTAACACAGAACATAGTTTTCTGCTAGATGAACTATTTTATTTTGTCTAAGGAAATGGAGACTGAAGTGTTTGAATACTTTGGGAAGGTAGTATTGATTTCTTTTCTTCCCATCCCCAGTAACTTAAGATCTTGTCACAGTCAGATCAAAAAAATACAAAATTTGTGATTCTTCCTTGCTACAAGTTAGTTGGTTATATTCAAAACTGGAGGAGGACTGAGCATTTGGCCCTGTGAGGATGAAAGCCTACATTCTCCACCCTTTTATTCCCAGCCTTTTTGACGTCAAACCAGCAGCAAAACACTGAAGGTCTGAATAGAATTCTCTGTCCATCGGGTTTCTCACTTCATTCTAATTTCTTTGTTAGAGCCTATTTTTAATTTTTTTAAAAAAGAAGTTATGCTGAGACATAAATTTCTTTGTTTCTACTAATATTTATTCTCTCCCTGTATTTCCATCTTTTTGCAGTCTTGTGCTATGTGTATCTTTTTTTTTTTTGTTAAACTGTTATCTTCAGGAATTAGCAGAATGGCTGGACTTGAATTAAGAATATGTGAACACACAGTTCCAGGAGTGTTCCCAACTACCAGCTCCATTTACATGGTGATGCATAAACTTTGTGCTGAGTTTATTTGACTGTAACTTTTTTTTTTTCCCCCTCCATGGATTCTTTTCTGGAGCTGTTCAGTCTATATTCTTGTACTAAAATGGTTCTTAATAAAACTTGAAAACATTGCTAGTAGATTACATGAAAAGTTCATTGCTTATTCTTGTAAAAATCGTGTGCATAATGGTGAAAGTGCCTTTGGTACGAGTCACCTTCAGTCATCTCCTATTTCTTGTGCTTTGTGTATGCTGCCTTAAAGAGCATCTATTAAATTTTTTCCTGAACAGTTAACATGATAAATGGCTTGCTGCAGGCCAAAACTGAAATTCTAAACAATGGAAGTACCCAGATCACAGGGATTTATGAACAATGATACAAGTTTGGGAATTTGAATATTACTGAGTATTTAGGACTGGATAGCAGTAAAGATAAACCATGAACGGAATTGTTCATGCTTAACCTTTCTTTTCAGAACTGAGTAATAATCTTCCAGAAGTACCCACAGATTGTTACCCTTCAGGTATTTTTAAAAATTCAGTCATAGCTGAAGTAAAGTGACAGGAAGCTTCCCTATGAAATGGACAAACTTGAAAGCTTGATCATTCAAATGATGTGTCTTGGCAACTTCACCTCTTTTTTCCATAGATCTGAGAATCTGCCTCTGGCAGTGATACTTGCAAGAAAACCACAATTCATCTATAGTACTAATGGGGGAAAATATTAGTGGTAGAAGAGATGGGCACTAATATTGCTGGTTGGAGCATGGTGCATGGAAAAATGATTTGTAGCAAAAAAAAAAAATAGTCCTCAGAGCAACCAGCCAGATACAAGGTAACAGGAAGCTCCACTGGAGAAGGCACTTGGTGCTGTCTTGTTTCCTACCCCACACCTTCTGGAATATTTTGTGACTTGTATTTTACATAATACTTGTACTTCATGGGCACATCACTTTACCTATTATGAGTTACTGGTTCAGTTTATCAATTTTCCTTCCAACCCTCTGTGGATAAGGGTTTTCATGCATCAAGAAGGATTCAGGAGAGAGTTTCTTTTGCCTTGACTATTTTATCTTGTCAGTTACTGTTATGTCTTTCTAATCTAATATCTTTCTGCTGTTTCTCAGTCTCAAATAGACTCTCATATTCCTCCACATTTTCCTTTTCCTTCTTAAAAAGTAATCTTTTCCATTGTGTGATAATAAAGGAGGGAAGAGCAGCTCTCAGTTACTGAGAATACAGGATGCACTAGTGCCTTGTTGCTACAAGGTTCAGGTTTAGAATTGCAGAGCGAGTCCTGCTTGGTGTTGGAAGCATGTTAGAAGACTAGAGGGAACCTTAGGTATATTCTGGTGCAAAGACCTCTCATAGCCATGCCTTGAGTCTCTTGTGAAAAAGTGCAAGAGTGCATTTTGTGTTGGCTGGAAACCATGGCTTCCATGACCCATGGTGGTCTAAAATCATAGAGGGGTAGAGCACATCAAGAAAGCCACGTCAAGGAGCAGAGAAACACTTATGTGGAACAGTTTCTGGAAGAGGCGCCTTCTTAAGACACGGCTGCACAGAATTAGAAAAGAGTAACTTTGGTCATATTGCAGTTTTTACTGAGGCAGCATTTTTATTTAAATATTTGAAATCAGATGCATGGTCATTATAGCTGGTAGGAGAACTGTGTAGATACGTGTTAAAAAAAAACAAACAACAACAAAGCAACCAAAACTGTCATGTTTTCCATGCTGAGTGAGTTTGACTTTTCAGTTAAGCATTGAGCTTGTTCAAAACCAAATGTTACTTAGCTAAATCAGGTCTCAGTGCTAGACTCCACTAATGATTGTTTTGAATTGCTACAGGGACTGCTAGAATTAATTTGTCACGTAATCCTAACAAAAATAAATATCAAGTCTCTCAAAAATAAATATCAGGTCTCTAGCATTTGGAAAAATGATGTGATTCATGCAGTAGAACTTCTGAACCACCTAAGCATGAGTTTTCTGCACTCAAATTTTTCTATTCCTATTTTCTAGAGCAAAAGGGAGATTCAAGACCAATTTAACTAAATGTTGACTAAAATTGGATGCTGCGTACTATTTCTGAATGTTACAAAAGAAAATTTAAAATAAAAATGTTGATCATTAACCCTCGCCTCTGGTGTTTCACATAATATAGCATCATTTCCATGTTAAAATGAGTTATCTGTCTTACTAATGTTGTCTGACATTCCTAATAAAGGCCGTATCTTGTAGTTGTAAAAATAGTAATGTCTTCCTAACTTACAGAAATTCCTGTTGGAAAAACTTTAGGAATTCTAGGCCAGAAAAAATGGTTTGAATGACACTTTTTTTCTGGGGGAAAAATACAGTCTGAGTTTTTTAGTAAAATGGGGGTTTCCCTTCTAACGCTCTCACAGAATCACAGAATCTTCATGGTTGGAAGGGACCTTTGAGATTGAGTCCAACAATACACAAAAAAATCCCCCAAAACCCCAAACCATCCCCACCTCCAAAAAAACAACTTAAAAAAAAAAACCAACCACAGAAGCACACCACCAAACACAAAACAAAACACCTAACAATCTCAGGCACTATAGCATGCTCTGAAGTGCCACGTCTACATGCTTCTTAAATACCTTCAGGGTTGGTGACTCTGCCACCTCCCTGGGCAGGCTGTTCCAGTGCTTGACCACCCTCTCAGTAAAGTAATTCTTCCTAATATCTGATCTAAACCTCCCCTGCTGCAACTTCAGACCATTTCCTCTGGTCCTGAAAAAGGGAACTGGAAGTACTTAAGAATACTAGCTAGTATTCATTGAATTCACGAATTGCTGAAATTAGTGTGTAACATTTAAGACTTGCAGTAAAAGCTGGAATATAAATGTTCCATCCCCTATCTATAGCTGTGTTTTTGCTGTAATTAAAACAATAGTAATATTAACTGGCTTAGACTCCAGAAAGGATCTTTATGTGAGGTGCAATATAAGAAATCTACTGCAAAGTCAACTTTAATTTCTGCTGCTTTTATGCTGCATTCTGCCATCCATATGGTTGGATGATATTTTTTTGGGTGCTATTAAAAAGTAATTCACTGATGCAATCAGTTTAAATGCTCTAGATGTTATTAATGTCAATTCACTTCAATAGGCTGGATAATAGTGTGGCCCCACCTTTGCTTGTACTGAACAACTGAGGAGGTAGTAATGAAGAGCAGAGTTGGGTGGGAGGAGGAGCTGAAGAAGACTTTTGTGCAACTGCAGTCTCTTTTCTCTTTAGGCTCCTTGTAATGTCAAAACAAAACAAAAAAAATCTTACACTGAGTATAAAGATTTTTTAGTAAACAAAATAGAGTTCAATTCCTTCCATTTTTTTTGTCCACTACTATCAGTAGCCTACTTATTACTGCACTAATTGAATTCTTGTTTCAGTAAGAGGAATGTCACATAGGATTCTTTGAATAGCTTAATTTCTGCTTTTTTTCTTTTTTTTTTTTTCCTTTTTAGAACTTGAATATATTGCCATACATTTGCCTGGCATATTCTTGTCAGTTGATAATATATACATAGTTTCAGTACTGGTATACCTTAAAGAGAGTTCAGTTTCTAGCAGCTAGGTGAGCTGCAACTTATTTGAATCTAAATTTACATATCATAAAGTTTGCATCTCTAGCTTTCAGCTTAATGTTTTGCAATTTAATTGGTTAAAATACAGTTCTGTTTGGAATAAAATACTTTCAGCAATGACGGAACTGATTTTACCAAAAGTGACTGAATTTCCTTTGGTTCCCACTTCCCCCTTGAAGTTCCACTTTCTAATATATTAAAATAAAATGTGAATTTCTGAACTAAGTAGTCATTTAAGTAACTATACAAATCATAAACCTGGCAACTAGGGGAACTGCAGTATAATGAAAAAGTTTGCTGGGGGTTAAAATTAATCTGAAAATACTTCAGCACTGAAATATTCACAATAAATAGCAGAGAAAATAACTTGATTTTAGGTCTTATATAGTGTATGGGGTTGAAGCCCACGGACATAAAAATCCCAAAACATTAGAACAGGAGCTGCACAGAAGGGAATAATCTTACAGTCAGTTTGCTTTATTGTGCCCAGTAGGTTCTTGGTACCCAGAACTATAAGGGAAGCACTCTTTTTGCAATTCTTCCATGGTATGGCTGTATCTAGGAGCTGAAGAAATCAGTTGAAAAACTTCCCGTTGACCGAAATGTGCTACTTGAACTGTATAGTGATGGAATCACGCTGACAATATCATATAGCGTTGTATTAATTTTTCATTGGTCCCATTGACCGAAATGTTCTGCTTGAACTGTATAGTGATGGAATCACACTATCATATAGCGTTGTATTAATTTTTCATTGGTTCCTTGAGTATAATTTTTCCCTTTCCTCCTCTTCATACAGCTCTCAAGAGACAGAGCTTGTACAGCAGCCCCTTCAGCGCAGTCAGTTACGCGAGCTCCTACAGTCCAAACACCAGTAGCCCCTACAGCAGTGGTTTCAACTCTCCCTCCTCGACACCAGTGAAATCCGCTTTAGCGAAACAGCTCATACCTCCTGGTACCTCAGGTACGTGTGTGTGTCAGTGTCTGGTCTCTCCTTTTCTTCTTCCTCCTCTTCCTTTCAAAAACATGTGCTCAAATAGATTACAATTTCATTGAACTCTAGTAAGAAAGGCACCAAAAACCCGTCAGTCTTTTGTGGGATGTTTGTAATATGCAGTATTTAAGCTTTTTAGGTGAGGCTCTTTTACAGACTTCCCGGCATGAGATACATTTAAAATGTTTTCTTTGTATATTCATGTCCCAAAAATCACTGATGTGTATGAGCAGTTAGACCAAAACACACAGCATTAGTTCTGTGGAACTAGATCAGTCTTTTGTGGGATGTTTGTATTATGTATTTAAGCTTTTTAGGTAAGGCTCTTTTACAGACTTCCTGGCATGAAATACATTTAAAACGTTTTCTTTGGATATTTATGTCCCCAAAATCACTGATGTATATTAGCAATTAGACCAAAACACACAGCATTAGTTCTGTGGTCAGTCTTTTGTGGGATGTTTGTAATATGCAGTATTTAAGCTTTTTAGGTGAGGCTCTTTTACAGACTTCCCGGCATGAGATACATTTAAAATGTTTTCTTTGTATATTCATGTCCCAAAAATCACTGATGTGTATGAGCAGTTAGACCAAAACACACAGCATTAGTTCTGTGGAACTAGTGGAATCCCAACATACATAAGCAGCTTCTAGAACTGGCCCTGTAATTGCCTGGGATGTAAGTTGCATAGTAGGTGTTTAAAGGTTAGCTGTTAGTAGTTGTAAAGTCTTTGCAACTACCCTGTTACTTATTAACTGAAACATATGGTATGCAATGAATGTATCCATCAGTTCTTCTGAGATGTGAACAATATAACCTAAGGAAGAGGTATGTATTTCAATTAAAAGTATTCTGTGAGGCTTTGCAGTAATCAATGTAAACATTAACTTCTGGCAGTGTCTTCTGCCTTTATTCTGCATCATAGATACTTTCTTTGCATCAGAAAAATTAATGCTTGGAACACATCTGTACTCAGAAGTCAGAATGTTGGCTTGTTATACATACTTTAACTCAAGTAGCTTGCAGGGAAGATGAAAAACATTGCATTGACAATCCAACTATCTGTGGTTCTCTGCAGACTTGTAGAGAGAAGCCTGTGCTGTGGTGTATTCACCAGAGCCATTACCCAGGTTTTGTTTTAATCTGTGGAGCTCTGCTCTGCATTGTGTGCTACAGTGCTGTGCCTGCCTGCAGGACAGAGAGGGGAGATGTAACTGGCAATGGAGTGTCAGCCAGGAGGCAGCAAATGGGAAGAATTTTTCTTGTATGTTATAGTTTAGCAAAAGGTCTGTACACACAACAGGTAGTATTTTCAGATAATCTGTATTTTAAGCATCCCAAACGGAATCAACATTCATTGGATCGGCAAGTCCTTATTGTCAAGAAAGTTACAGTCAAACTTTCATCTTACAAGGTAGTGTGCAGAGATGAGAACAAAAGCACAATGGGTCAGGTACGTAGCTGTTCTTTCAGTAAGAGCTGTGCAGTCAAAACTTGGTACTGGTAGACCAGATTATATGTTATTAATCTGTTTTGCCACCAGTATAATGATTTGTCAAGCTGCTCATTTTTAGAGGTAGCGGCTAAGCTCTGCCTGTGTAAATTATTTTCGGCCTAAGTTCACAATCAAATGTTTCAAATGGTCTATCAGACTCAGTCTCAGTCATAATCTATTTTGAAATTGGTGGTTCTTTTACTAGGAGGGGAAATAGAGCTTGCCTTTTTTGCCTTATTTTTTTTTTAACATTTCTTATTACTTTATTATCTTTCTGTAGGTCATCTCAAAAGTTCAGGAGATAGAAATCCTCCGCTCAGTCCACAGTCCTCTCTGGACAGTGAATTAAGCGCATCAGAGATGGATGAAGACTCTATTGGGTCTAATTACAAGCTAAATGATGTTACAGATGTGCAAATTTTAGCGCGAATCCAGGAAGAAAGTAAGTATTCTCCATCCTGAAAACAAAGTGGAGCACTTGATCTTTTTTTATTGAATAACTGCAGTAACACTTGCTGAGCAGGAATGGAAAAAGCAGTGTAGATTCTACTATGAATCTACAAATGTTCTTCTGAGAAGGCTGGCGAAGGACTTCTGCCTTCAGGGTATTCAACTATGAATCTACAAATTCTACTATGAATCTACAAATGTTCTCCTGGGAAGGCTGGCGAAGGACTTCTGCCTTCAGGGTAAAGAAAGGAAGTTGCTGTGCAGAAGTGTTCTTTAGGAACAATAGACAAAAGAAATACTCAAGAGGGTATGATTTGTAGGATATAGTATATGTGAAATGGGTGGTCGTTAGACTGGTCTGCTGCCTGCCGCCGGTCTTCTCAGGACATATGTGCCTTCCTCATGTAATCCAGTCTTGTTGCCATCAGTGCTTAAACCGTGATTTAAATCACCAAAACGTAAAGTTCATCTGGCAAAGAATAGTTAAGAAAAGCACCTATTATAGGTTTAGTTGGAGCTTTGTCTGTCTTTTTGTCCCTCCAAGAGTGCAGAAAGTGGTAGTAATTTCAGTTGTCTAACTAGGTGCTCTCCAGGCTTCTTTACTGTGTTCCCCATCAATGAAAAAAAAAAATCCACAAATGTCCAATATATGTATTTTTTATATAAATTTTATGCATGTGCTACTCTACTAATACATTACATACAAAAAAATACACAAATGTACATTAAAAAATTTAAAGTATGAGATAAAGATTACATACATTTAATTGATTTAAAAAATATTATTTTATTAGTAGTACAAAATTTTCTTCCTGCACCCCAGTGGATTGTTCTCCGTACCGCCTGGGGTACGTGCACCCCACTTTGGAGACCACTGGTCGTAACAAGGCTAGTTTATCTAGGGATAGCTTATGGTATAGTTTTTTTATTACATTTACTAATACATTCAAGAGACATTTCATTGAGGCTGCTATGATTGTTACAGGCTGTTCCATTATATCAAAATTAAGGTGTAGCCTGTGTTGCCAGTCTCCAGCCTGGGAAAGGAGACAAGTACCCAACACACCTGTACTGATGATTGCTGTAGTAGGAAGAGAAATGAGCTTACCTACTTATTTCAAGACATTATTAGATGATAGATAACTTTTTTTTTTGATCTAATCTGGAATTAATTTAATGCTTCAAATAAAAGTAGTTAAGGTGAGCCAGATTTGAGTTTGAGTAGTGGGTAGATACTCGGTGTTGTGCTGTCTCTGGCTGGGAGCATTTGTGGGCTGGAAACAAGCAAACTGTGTTTTTGTTGTTGCCAGGCCTCCGGCAAGAGTATGCAGCCACCGCTTCTCGGCGTAGTTCTGGTTCATCTTGCAACTCTACGAGGCGAGGCACCTTCAGCGACCAGGAGCTGGATGCCCAGAGTTTGGAAGATGAAGAGGATGGCACGCATCACACCGTGCACCCTGCCGTGAGCAGGTTCTCCCCGTCACCTCGCAGCTCTCCCTGGCCTTCACCAAAACAATCTCCAAGGAACTCACCTCGCTCCCGATCGCCCGCTCGAAGCATAGAGTACAGCAGAGTGTCACCCCAACCCATGATCAGCCGTTTACAGCAACCTCGTCTTTCCCTTCAAGGCCACCCTACAGATTTGCAGACTAGTAATGTCAAAAATGAAGGTAAAAAGCTCCTTCTCAAATTCATTACCCAAGTAGTTGTGTCATTCCCGTAAAGGATTTTGGTCAGCGTGCAGTGCTAAAGCTGTGTGCCTGTCTAACATCATGCTTTAATCTCAGAGCTGTTGAAGAAAAAACAGAGCAAGCAAAGCTTAAGTTCTGCTGGGGCACTCTTAGAGTCAGATGAGTTATAGGCTTATATTTATTTTAGATGTTATCCAGCCACTCTGGGTGTAATTGAGTTTCGTGGTGACCGAGTTCTATCTTTGACAGGCAAATGCACTAAAATAAAGCAGAGCCCAAGGGAAACTATCATTCACCAGTAGGATTAGGCCTTGCAGATGACAGAATAAGATGCAGGGAAAGTAACTGTGGTCAGATAAGAGTAATATGGCGAGTTATGCATACTTGTAGCCTCTGAGATCACTGAATGTTCGCTTCTGGCAGTGCAGGACTCTCAACTCTGAGCATCTGGAAGCAACTCCTTTAACTGGGCGGAAGTTTCACAAGCATATTCCCATTTTAACAAATGTACTTCTTATCTGGCAAATAAAATCTTAAATTCAGAAAGAATATACATTTAGAAAGAATATACATTTAGATATTAAGAATTCACCTTATTTTTTTCATCTTCCAGGTAAGCTGGATGCAAAATGTCTGCAGTAGATATGATGTAGGAATGCATTTTTAAATGGTTTATTTTCTGGGGTGGTTTTGTTGTTTTGTTCTCCCACACACACCTTAAGAGGTCTGTGCCACTTAGAGAATTTAATTAACTGAAGACATTTTCTAATTTTAATCATAAAACACAGTGTGCTAGACTAGAGTTTTTGGAGAAGATGATCCTGCAAATTTAATTAGCTATTGAAGAATGTCTTTGGAAGGGTTAGCTTAAGTCTCATCTAGTAATAGTGGTTTGAGGAAGCTTTAGCTATAAAGGAAAAATGTACAACACAAAAGCTGATCAACTGTATTGTGACTTAGTTGAGAATTCTTTTCCCATTCTTTTCTGGGGTTTCATGAAAGTCTTAATGCATGCTAGATGAGCTACAACAAAAATATCCCGTGAGGGGCAAGGTACCAAAAGCTGGTATCCCACGTGCCAGAGGGATGAAAATAGAGCACGCAATCATGTGTTTCTGAAACACTTCCAAGGAATTCTCTTGCTGTGGTTTTTGTGCAGTTGAGTGTTGCTTGGATATTCAGAGTTGATACAGCAGCAGCCAAAAAAAAAATTGCTGGGGATTTCTTTTGGGTTTTTTTTTTCCTCTTGAATGGTTAGAGGGAAATTTGGTTGACAGGATTCAATAGCCTACCCATGGCAGTGCAAAGCAATGCAAACGACTAAGTGCAGAAAGTACACTTGTAGGAATGTTCAGCCTATGAAGACTCTTACTTTTGTTTTCATCTTTAGTGCTTGTGCATGGTTAGCGTTCTTCTTTCCTGCATCCCTCCACAGAATCAGGTTGGCCATTCATCCTGACAAGGCATCTGCAGTCTTCCCTCCAAAGTATGTCATCAACCCAGCTCTGCATGGGTTGGAGATACACAGAATGTCATTAGACCTGAGAAATATTTAATGGCATCTTTTTGTATTCTGTGAGTGATGGTACAAATTTTAGAGCACCCTTGAAGAACCAGTATTAGTTGAATAGATAGTCAAGTCATATGTGAAAGATGAAGCATAACTGGACACAATAATTTTGAATGCTGTGCGTGAAGAGTTCCTTTCCAAGTAGGTGGCTGTTATTTGTTGTATAATGTGCTGGTATGGGACTGATCCCAAAAATTAACTCAAATAATTGCTATGTGGTTTTTAATCTTCAGAGCTGCTTTCTAGTTTATAAATAACTTTCTTGATAAAGACTTCAAAAACTGTGCAACAAGCTTTCTAGTTTGTATTAATTTTCTTGATAAAGACTTCAAAAACTGTGCAAAACTGCAAATTGGGTTTGCCTATTCCATTTCCATAACAGTAGAACAAAGCACAGAGAACCATAATCCAGGTATGTTTCAATTTCAAAACACACTATGCTTGACTTTTTTTCACCTGTGGTGAAAAGGTACATTCATGCTTTTTTTATATAAGTATTTTGTATGTGGTAGATCTGAGAATAATATAGAACCTTAATTTAAGATAGTGGAAGAACTGTAATGTAACAAAATACTCTTTTTAAATTGTGGTGTGCATTCGTGCTTTTTTTATATAAATATTTTGTATGTGGTAGAATAATATAGAACTTTAATTCAAGATAGTGGAAGAACTGCAATGTAACAAAATACTCTTTTTAAATTGTGGTGTAGTTTTATGTGGCTAATGTTTTGTGTCAGGTAGATTTGGGGTTCAACTGTGGGTCCATAACCTGAACTTTGCCCAGCCTCAGATTACATGCTGTGGTATTTTCCTATTATTTCATACAGAGAAACTAAGGCGTAGTCTTCCAAACCTGTCCAGGACATCTAACATACAAGCTGAGTCTGTGAAGAACAGCAGAAGTGACTCAAACTTCCAAGTGCCAAACGGAGGAATACCTCGCATTCAACCTCAAGCCTCAGCCAGTAAGTACCTGTAGTGACACTTCAGTTTCTGTTTCAGAATTAACTGATGGTACCCAGCTGTCTTCCAGTTTCATGGCAAAGAGAAACATTGCATGCCACACTGGAGATGCTGATCTTGATTTTTTAATCATACCTGTGTGAATCTGCTTTTGTGGTACACAAAATCTGGTACTGATTAAATTCAAAGAATATCTGATCTATTATTAAGGTATCCTAGAAGTATATCTAGGAGTATTATAAAGACTACAAATAGAATAGCTAGACATTTCAGAAAGTGTGTATTTTTTGTGACTTAGAGAAGGTATAATGCTCTGTACTGTTGCATTTTATTTTATAAGGTATCCTAGAAGTATAGCTAGGAGTACTATAAAGACTATATATACAGTAGCTAGACATTTCAGAAACTGTTTATATATATATATAATGCTCTGTACTGTTGCATTTTATTTTCAGACGTAAAAAACTTACTAGGCTATGAAAATATGTACCTCGATGATGGTTATTGCTTTTTTGAAACTAGCAAAACCTGATCTGAAAACATTCATGCAAGTTTAACCCTTGTTTGCAGTTTCTTTTCTTCTTTTGTTATGTCACCTGGAAATTATATATTCAGTGGCAGATTTTATTTACTTTTTAAAGTGTCATTTACTACTTAAAAAAGGTGTGGATGAACCTGTGTCCCCTGAAACAAAGTAGCCCATTGCTGGGCTAGTGGCTGCTAGTTTGTCCAAAAGTGAACTGCTGATGTGAGAATGCTGCTGATTTCACAAGTCTCTTGAAAACGGTGACCTTAAAGAAGTCAAAGCAAATGAAACTTAAATATTCAGTACTTCTTTATATGTCAATATTGACAATTCTTGTCATTTAAATGTTTTCTGACCCTTTTATTTTAAAACAAGTTTCAGAATTTAATAACCTTGTGTGACATTTTCAAGGGAAGAACACATTATGAATATTATTATATGTAGAGCTTTGAACTATAAAAGTTCTCTGATAAAAGTTCATCAGCAATCTAAATGTTGGACAGGAAATATAAGATAATATTTGTGAATTAAACTAATTTATTTTTTTTACCCAGTCGGCCTTGCTAACTGGTCCTTTCAAAACAGTGTGTTAATGCAACCAAATACAGTTAAATACAGAATTAGGAATTCAGACAGTGTGAATGACTATAAGACTTCAGTCTTTCTAGTAACCAGATGTCAGGATTGTGTGGACAGTCGGTGTGACACTGTGGCCAAAGAAGTTAGTGTGACCTTCTAATTGTTCATACAGGTTACCCCAGCGTCTTTCACCTTGCCCCCTTCTTCCACTACTCACAAGCACTCAGAAGGTGGGATTTACAACTGAAAGGGCACGTATTTAGTTCAAATGCTACAGTTGGGAAGCTTATCAAACTATAAAGCACCCTATAAAGCTGGACAGCAGCTCTCCAACTGCATTATTTTTGTGATAGGAAGAATAATCAAAATGACCTGAAATAAAATGAAGGAAGAAATATTTTTAGTAAGAATGCATACAGATTTTATTTGGTTTTACATTGAGTGAACTTAGTAGGGAAGAGCACAGAGGGCAGCTTAGTTGGCTAGAAGGCTATATCCAGTATTAAAGGTATATTCAGAGTGAAACTTTATGGAAAGATCAGACAACAGAAGTCTTAATGTTCAATATTTACTGAGTTAATTCATTGCAGGAGTCATCGTAGTGTGACTTATGTTTATACATGTATAATTTTCTTTTCAACTTGTGGATGCACTGAGAATCACAGAAATTATTAGGTAAACTTTCTTGACTTTCATGGGAATCTTTCCCCAAATGTGAACCACTCTAAACCAACTTACATTTAAATGTAAGTTAAATATCATTAATAAAGCCCAGATTTCTAGCTTTTACAGTTTCCCTGCTCTTACAGATGTTTGTCAGAGTCTTGCTATTGACAATCGTAAAACGGTTTGTGTATGAAGTCAATGAGTAAGTATCTTTGCTTAGTCCGGATTAAAAAAATTTCTGCAAAACTGTACATTGTATAAAAATTTCCAGAATTGTGTCCTTTTTATTGTATACTTTTTTTTTGTTTGTTTTATTGGCTTTGTATTTTGCCACCTTGCACAAAGCACTGTTAAACTGCAGCAAATTTTTGTTTTCCCTTGGCAATGACTTCTGGGTCTTGGGATGTGAAGCTTCCTCATACACCTGCTAGTTTTGCATGAGCTTACCTTTGCAAGGATGCTGGCTTGCCACCCGAGGTCACTCCTTTCTTCCTTGTCAAAGATCTGCTGTTCATAATTTACTTGCACATTTGCTGTGGCTGCAATACTGAGCTCGCTATGGTTGCTGGCATTCAAAAATGAGTTAGGAATCCAGTAAGTTTCTGAAAAGACAATTCCTGTTACAGGCAAATTGTACACGCTTGCTTAAAGAGTAGAGGGAAGATACTTATAATATGTTTAAAGGTACAACTGTAAAACATGAAAACGTTTGGCATTTCAAGTTTTAGCTGTATTGTGGTGAAAAATCCAATGGTTACACAGGCAAATTGTACACGCTTGCTTAAAGAGTAGAAGGAAGATACTTATAATATGTTTAAAGGTACAACTGTAAAACATGAAAACGTTTGGCATTTCAAGTTTTAGCTGTATTGTGGTGAAAAATCCAAATTCTTCTTAGAAAGAGATTGGGTGAATTGGATAGCAGTTGTAAGTATTAGAATCTTCATTTACATCTGATTCTCCATGCTGTTATGCAGAAAGTCCTTTTTTATATATGAAAATATATACATATATTCAATATTTCCTCTTAAAACACTGGAAGATACCTATTCCTTGGAGAACATAAGTATTACTGTATCTTTTAAACTTTAAAGTGTTAGTGTGACAGAAGGACTCTGTACTTTGTCCTACACCACGTAGATGCAAAGCTGTAGAACTTCTATGGTGGCTTCCACGTAGGAGCTGCGTGCTATCTAGTGGATTGTGTGTGATACTTTTGTACTTACCTGGCACCATTAGCACATGGATGTTAAATCTTTAAGCAGGGCTAAATATAGTATTTTCTCAAAGAGCTAAGCTGTGGGTTGTTCAAACTGTCAGTAAAGGAACAACTCTGCTTGCCAAGATCCAGCTGCTTGGCATGTTCAGAGTAAAAGGAGAAGGTGTGTGTTTTGGGGAAACCCGAGTATTCCAGTTCAGTTGATGAGAAGTAACTGTAGCTGCCTGTGTTCCTCGTGCCCCGTTTGTGACAGGTAACGTAAGAGCAGACACAGCACCTCAAGAGCACCAGCAGCGTGGATGAGCATGTGCTCCACGCTTATCTCAAACTGCATGTGTCCTCAGCACTGCTCAAATTGCACTGCCTGAAGTTCTGCACAGTGATTCAGTGCACAGATTTTAGTTATCGAGTCTCTATTTCCTGGAGTCTCCATTGAGAAGGAAGGAATTTGAGAGAGATGTATGTATATAATTTAAATCCTTTCCATATCATCCCACATCTTTGACTTGCGAGTAGCATAAATAATGATGGGGGAAGAAACTTAGTGCTATGTGCAGTAGCACATTTAAATCTGAATGAATTAGGGCAAACTAAATTCAAGTTCATAAATATGAAGGAAGAAGCTGTTCTTCATTTTGTGTGGTATAACGAAAACACTGATTCAGTACAAAATGATACAAAAGGAATACTTGTGGACAGAAACACTCTGGCCAGTGGTCTGCCTCACTGAATTCCTAGGAATTGTGCTCATTTTTAAACATCTTACTGTGCTTAATTGGCTGTTCTTGGGTATGCCTTAAAAAAGTTTATAGCAAGACCATGTGCCAGAAGTTGAATAAGAGTTGCATACTGCCACATGTTTAGTTGGTAAAAGGAATAGGTTATTTTTTTTTAATTCTTAATACCCACAGGCAGCATTTTATCATGTTTATAAACACCTTAATTCCTTTTTGCTGTTTGAAAATGATAGTTATCAAGACTAAAATGAATAGACCACCTGGTCATATTTCAGAATGAAGGTAAAACACATGATGAACTTCTTTCACAGTTCACAGGATATTGCAGAATTTTGCACTGACTGAAGAATAGGAAAGATGATGGCAATTACTTTATGCTATCAAGTTTAGAAAAGGATTAACTAATATTATTAGGATCCTAATTGTTCTTCCCCTACCTTCTTTATCGTGATATTCACCAATTGGTGATAGGATTACTGAGTTTCCTTACTCAGGGTCAGGATCTTTATGCACAGCTGTTCCCCCATCTTTCTTCCTTCTCACTGTGGAAATCAGCCTTGCTATAGTGCAATCAGTTTTATGCTGGTACAAAACTCTATACACTGAGGTGAGCAGAGATGTTTATTCATACACTGTCATTTTAAGAAGCCTTTGTGCAGGCAAAGCTTTATTTCATTGACTATTTTCCTCCTTCCCCCCACTTAAATATGCTGCGGTGAAAACGCGCTGAGTCGATGCGTTCCTTCTGGCAATAGGTAATTCTCTCCTTGCCAAGATTCTGCAGCTCTTGGAACATTGGCTTCTCTTGGTAACTGGTAGGTAGTGAGCTCATTTCGTGGCAGTATCAGCCCTTGAACATTACTAGAAAAAAAAAAACCAAGATGTAGGAGCAAAGGCACAGTAAAAACCAATTTCTGTCATGCTGTCTACACACTGGGAGCTGATAATTCTTAGTGTGTTATGTCTTCATTTTAATTTTAGTCCTCTTGCATACCCTTTTGAAGAGGAAAAAAACCAGACATCTCTCAAAATGGCTTATGTTCACATAACTGAAAAATACAATTTGCTTATATGATGATCACAGACAAAGATTTATGCTTCTCTATAGTGTTGAATATTTTTCAGAAAAGTCCTTTAAAATGAAAAGTTTAGTCTTGCTAGCTCAAATATGACAGTTTAATTTTCATCTTTGCATCTAATCTTGCACTTGTATTGCTGTAGCATGTTTGCTAGGTGGCTTGTTCTCCCTTTGGTGTTGTTTTGGGTTTTTTTTTGCCTTTCTGGGCTTTTTGCCCTGCAAGAAGCTTTACTCTTACAGAATCTGCTCATTTTGCACTGCAAAATTCCTGACACGCTCGTCTGTAACTCTTTGCCATTAAGAGCAAGCACCATTTAAAAAACCCCACCACTTCCAGAGTCATAACAGCTTTTTGAGTGTTTTACTCACTCTGTTTCTTGATGCTTCACAAGTGGATGCAATTCTGAAATTCCCAGTAAATTTAGTTTTCTTACCTTCTTAGACAAATATAACACTTCTTGTCTTTCAACAGCTCTGCAAAGGCAGAAAAATTTGCCTCGTGCTGCCTTCAAAACCAAACAGTTTCTTCCAAGTCCATCTGCAAAAGGAGGTAATTAACTTACAACCTCTTACCAAGCTCCAGCAAATCTCAGATAATTGTTCACCTGCATTAAATCTCACATAGTCTAGATTAATAAAATTGGTGTTGCATGTCGAGATTAACCAAGTGGTCCTTTCTGTATGAAAGTTAACTTTTTGGTCTAAACAGTAAAAATACAACCCTGAATTATATAGGAGAAAAAGTATTAAATTGAATTTTGAGATAAAAATCCAAAGATTGGTGATTTCTAGCATTAATCAGGAAAATCTGGATTAGAAAAGTAGACTCCAGAATCCATATTTATAAGGGCTACATTTGGATAGGAATTTTTAAAATTGTAAAATATGGTTTTTAAAACACAAGTTTTAAAAATTGTTCTTTTTTTGATTGTGCAAAAATATATGCAGCAAGTGTAAATACCATCCTTTGGGCTGGAAACAAAAGCTCACGAGTTTATCCTTGAAAAGATGAGTATAGAATGTCAACTTCTTTTGCGCGTACATGCACATGTGCTTGCGCTTCCTCTTTTCCTCTCAAAACCAGAAGATTAACCCCAACATACAGTAATTTAGACTTGTCTTTTTTTCTCAAGGAACTAGAGACTATTGTATATAATATTCTTGTTTGCCAACAGCAGAAATTGGCTTTTTTCTCTTGAGAAGAAAATGAGATATGTTGAGTCTCTAATCCAACTAAACAATTTTTAACTGATTTTTAACTAATTCTGGCAGCCTTATATGTGACACTGCCTCAATTTCACTACTAAGATAGACCAAGTTCATCATCTGGTTTTTAAGCACAGTTGGTCCTGTTGTCTGTTACAATCTAGAAGATCTTATTTTAAAGATCATATTTCACTTGAGACCAATCAATAAGCTCTGTATATGCTAGAACCCTTTAAGGATGGTGAGAGTCCTTCACAGAGATACTGAGGGTGGCTGACAAAATGCGTGCGTTTCTCTTGGTGGTTCAACAGCAGTAACTTCTTTGAGTCAACGTCATTCCACGCAGAAAGTTTTAGCAAAGTACGATGGCTTGGAAACAGGTTCACATGGCTTAATAAGAAGTCTTCAACAGTCTTTGTAATATCTCATACCAAACAGATAAAGGTTTTTTCAATGTTCTGCTTTGACGTAAGACCACCATCTCGATTCCTCTGCAAAGCTTTCCAGGCTGTCTTTCCAGTTGGCCATGCCTTTACCCTCATCTGGATGTCTGGAACACTTACTAGGCCAATGGCCTAGTCTGGACCTGTGGAAATTTACAGAAAATTAACTTCTCTTTGAGTTTATATTATTTGTAAAACGTTACTAAACCTTAGAGAATGAGAAACTGATCATATTGCACCACTCAGAATATGTTATATACATATGTATATTTATACCGTTTATAGTTGCTGTCGTTCCTCGCTGTAAATGAGGACCCAACGTGTCCTTTTCAGTTACTTGCTATTTTATAGTCTTTGATGTGTTGATTTTCTTGCTTCTGATCTGAGATTTGCAAGAGTCCGGAAGCATTATGCAGTAATGAAACAAGACTTTTGCTTCAAAATGGTAAACAACTATGAGCAACAATTGGGTTTAGTTTCTTAAAATACTGTTCATTACAGAGCTTGACAACTTTCACACACAGACACTGGCTTTTTTTTTTTACCATTTTGTGTAAAACAGTTAAAAATTACTGTTCAATTCAAATAACTAGCTCTTGATCTCTCTGTAACAGATTTGCTAAGGCTTATACATCAATCCAGTATCAGTCAGATCATAGAATGGTTTGGATCATCTGGTCCAGCCCCCTGCAATGAGCAGGGACATCTTCAACCAGATCAGGTTGCTCAGAGGCCACCCCAACCTGACCAGGGATGTTTCCAGGGATGGGGCATCTACCACCTCTCTCGGCAACCAGAGCCAGCGTTTCACCACCCTCATCGTAAAGATTCCTTCTATCTAGTATATATCTACATTCTTTTAGTTAAAAACTCTTCAACCAGATCAGGTTGCTTAGAGGTCACCCCAACCTGACCTGGGATGTTTCCAGGGATGGACCCCAACCTGACCAGGGATGTTTCCAGGGATGGGGCATCTACCACCTCTCTCGGCAACCAGAGCCAGCGTTTCACCACCCTCATCGTAAAGATTCCTTCTATCTAGTATATATCTACATTCTTTTAGTTAAAAACCATGACGCCTTGTCCTATCACAACAGCCCTGCTAAAAAGTTTGTCCCCATCTTTATTATAAGCCCCCTTTAAGTACTGAAAGGCTGCAAATGGGTCTGCCTGGAGCCTTCCCTTTTCCAGGCTGAACAACCTCAACTCTCTCAGCCTGTCCTTGTAGGAGAGGTTCTCCAGCCCTCTGATTATCTTCGTGGCCTCCTCTGGACACGCTCCCACAGGTCCATGTCTTTTCTGTGCTGAGATGACAGAACAGTTTATTGATTCCCATCATTTTACCTCTTCTTTCAGATCATTCTGAGTCATCTCATCACGATGGCTATAATTTAACAACTGTATTAGAATTGATTCTGGTTTGAGGTTGATGTGCAGCAGCTGGCCTTGGGGTCCAAGACAGATAAGGTGGTAGCTTCACAGCATCCCGCTTTGCCAGATGGAGAATCTCCTGTTCCCTGCCCACAATCAGGACAGAATCCAGAGAGGGTGGGAAATCTAAATGTCATGTTTGCACAGTGCCATTTGTTTTTATTGTTGCCAGATACTTTAATTGCAGTTGGTTCTAGTTATTTAGTTTCTAAGGAGATAGAGTTGCCTGAAGTTGTTGAGCACTAACCTTACGCGTTTACGTGTTTTTATCAAACATGGATCAGTTCAATCCTACCAAATTGTCTTTAACTAAGGCACTACCTCACTCTTTGTGATCCCATCTTACAGCTAGGACTAACCGAGTTTTATTAAATAGCCAAAACTGCTCTAAGACAAAGTTCTTTATATGTAGAGCAGAATTATTAGGCAGTTTGCCAGAGATTGCATCATGTGGGCTGCTGCTCTGGAGATCACAGCAGGCTGGAAGACAATCCCTCCCTTTATGTAGGAGAAGGAACGCAGCTCTCGGCACTGACTGCGACGCTGTGCTGACAGGAAACACTTTCTGAATTGACAGCTCCAGTTGGAAGCATGGTAAAATATGGTCAACAGAAAACTGGAGAGAATGCAGAGGACTAATTTACTGGATGCTTACTTTCACTGGGACTGTGACAAGCTGTCTTCGTTTACAACTTTTCAGTGCTTATATTCTCTACCTAAAATCCTTTTCTCCGTGGTGCCTATAAGAGGCCCAAAGCTGTGTTCAGTGTTTACCTGCTGGCATTGCTCTGTTGGTCAGTTGCTGACATGATGCTGTATTTGTGTTCCAAGCAAGTGTCGTAATGAGAAGGTTAGTGATAAAGGCTCTGTATGTTTACCCTGTAGAATCACTTGGAAATTCTGCACATACAATGGCACTAATGTTACAGGCAATGTCACGTTTTAAAAACTTCTAATATGTAATCTATCTTAGTCCTAGGAGCACTTTGCTGCTCTTGTCCAGTCATTCTGTTGTTAATGCTTTCCTTAATCCATCCTCTGGCTTGACGCCAAGGTTTTTATTTTAAGGGTTCTTATTCATTCTCCTCTCAGTTTACCCACTGTCAGGTATTGTTGACATCTCTGCCACCTTTTTTATCAGCTTTTCCATGAGTGACTTCATGCTGTGTTTATTACTGCTATCGGTGGAAAGGCCCTCTTGGATAACCTAGAAAGAAATAAAATCTAGTTCACATCTGTAATGAGGCACAGATTGATCTTCCTAGGTATCCCTGAATACCACTTCGTCTGTACCCCATTTAGGATGCTGTGTTCCTGTCATTGCCCATCTCTTTTCTCACTCCTCATATTGTTAGTATATCCCGTATTAGAAATGGCTTCAGAATACAACCTGAATACCACTTCCTCTGTACCCCATTTAGGATGCTGCCTTCCTGTCATTGCTCATCTCTTTTCTCACTCCTCATATTGTTAGTGGGTCTACCTTGTAAGATGGTAATAAAAGTGACATGAAGGACCATCTTACTTATGTACAGCCTCTGTCAAAGAGATGCAACTTTGGTCTCTGTCTTACTTATGTACAGCATCTGTCAAAGAGATGCAACTTTGGTCTCTGTATAAAAAAAGTTTATTTAGTGGAGGAAAGAATAGTTCGTGCAAATTCCCTACAAGTAAACATGATTTTGTTTTACTTTCCTGATTGGTTTGATTGTCCTGTGTAGACTGTTACTGCCCCTGCCTCAGTTTGAAAAGCTGGTGAAATTAGTTTAAGTATTCTGTTTAGTGATACATTGTGCATAATTTGAAAATATTTCTCATACTCATGAAGAATGGTGCTTATGTTTTGGCATTATCAAAGCACTGTTGCATATTCTGGTTTTATTAAGCTTTCCCAGAAAGGACTTGATTAAAGACCTTATGAAGTATCTGAATAGAGATATTAGTTCTGCTGATAATTTAGATGAAGTGGAGGTGGCTACAAATTGTTAGAGTTGTCTGGTTTAAATTCCACAGCAGCACCTTAACCTCTTTGGTGTTGGGGGTTGGCTGACCTTTTTCCTGATCAGCCAATAACTCTGGGAGGTGACCATATCTTTAGGTGAATTCTAATTCATTGGGTTTGGTTAAAAAGAACAGCGTAAAAGAGACACTAAGAAGCTCTGCACTCAGAATTTCATCACTGAAGGCTAATACACACTTTGAATCTATTTAAAGACCGTGTCACACTAGAGTACTGTATTCTTCAACGTGTTCTTTCAGGGATGGGAGTTAGGTTCACGTGGCTCTGAAGCAGTTAAATTTCTTTTTGACAAATATGTTCTCCTCTGTTTCTTTTGACTTGACTAATATAACAGTTAGAGCCTCACTAATATTACTTATAAATCCAGATTAATAAATATTTATAGTAAGCAAATGGGACATTAGAGTTACGATATCAAAAACACACGACAAAGGACATCTGAATTCCTGTTTCTCATTGCTGCTTGACTGGCTGTATCCATTATACATTCCATATTGTTTGAATATTCACGTAAAGTAATTTCCTGATTTTAAGTTCAGTTATACTGTAACTCAAGCTTGAAAGTAACTTGTGTATTTTATTTTCCAGTACCTTCTTCAAGTAAGTTCCGCTCACCTGCAGCGCCGTCCCCCCTGGCTCTCCGACAGCCCGTGAAGGCATTCAGTAACCACGGACCCGCTTCGGTTGCTCCTCCAGAGGCAGCGCAGCTGACACACAGTACTTCTCTGCCGGGGCCTCTTGCAGCCCAGAGCTCAGGCCTGCCGAGCCCTGCCAGCAGCATTAACACTACTACTCTTACCAGACCGGCAGGGACAGCGGGCATGAGGAGTGGTTTGCCCAGACCCAGTGCCCCTTCCACGGGGGGCATCCCAGTGCCTCGTAGCAAACTTGCACAGCCTGTTCGCAGGTGAGTATGTGACAGGCAGCCTGAGTTTGAAGCTTTCTGAAGTGATTTTGTACATTGTGTCTTTGTGCTCCTCCTTCCTGCAATTCTTATTTTGATCTCAAGGTCTTTAGAACAGAAGGGGAGAGCACCACGTGAAGTATTTGCCTGTGTTTCCAAAATAGCTTTGAAGCAAAACTGAGAGAAAAATAGTGTCTTAGTCTGAGCTGAGAAAGCGATACGAATTTGTCTGCGTGTGGTAAAAAGTTATCAAAGTATAGCTGGGGAGTGAAAATTAATTTGTACCACTGAGTGACAGCTGCTGAAGTCAGAACTATTTTCCTCTTGTAATCCATAAGTCCAGCAATGGTACCACAGTGAGAACGGTTCCTCTCCTTGGGCAGCAGGAAACTCTAGGAAGGAAAACACGTGAGGGCAGAGGAGGCATCTGTAGCATTTGCTAAACTTAAAGTAAAAACCAGTGCAGTTAACCCACAGGGCAACACAGAAAGGATAAACAGCTGGTTTCCAGTACCATAAAAAAGATAAAACAGCTGTAAATAGCAAAGTGGAGGAGTTCTGTTCTGCAGTGAGTGCTGGGCAGGGGAATGTCCAGTGACTGTCACAGCACTGACCGTTTTACACTCCGAGTCTGCGCTCTTAGACTTGTGTAATAAAAAGCAGTTGGTTTTGACAGGAAGCTGTTAATAGTAGGACAATATGATTGTCCAAATCACAGCTCATCTTATAGAAAAGTGTTTCACTTATTAAACTTACGCAGCTATTTGATTTGAAAGTTTGTGTACATAATGCAGGATCTGTACACAATGCAGTCATGAAGTGTCTAGGAATGTCAAGATTTTGATGTAAGCAAAATGTAATACTCTAAACAAGGATTTTCCTGTTTATACATCACTGAAAAAAAAATCACCTATTTTTAAGTGGCAGCAGTTCATATTTTCACAGAGTATAATAGCAAAAAGTTTTCTGTCTATTTATGCAGATGTTTTTCTGACATCAACAACACATAGAACCTGAAACTGGAAACGCTTTAGGGTTTAGCTTAAGTAAACCATATTGCAGAGAAGTAAATGAGTCAAATGTGTATTTCGATTATTTATAAAATGTTTAAATTCTTATGTGTTGTAGCTGAAGACTTCGGCAGTTGTGTATGAAAGTGAAAAATGTCTCATTTTATTTTTAGATCATTACCCGCTCCCAAAACCTATGGCAACGTGAAAGACGAGAGTTGGAAAGATGGCTGCTACTGAACTGCAGAGCTTAACGCAGAGTTCCAGTGCTCACGGATGCTTCCTCACCAGGCTAAAAACAGCTTGATTATACAAACTGTTCAGATGTGACTTTTGGAATTTGTAAAAATTCCAAACCTCTCTGTCTCTAATTAGCACAAACTGGCAGAGATTACAAAGCAGCACTTTAATGACATCTAACATCAGATGTTTGGTGGTTATACAATCACTTCTACATTAAATTGCTATCAGTTCTGGGTTGGTTTTTTTGTTCTTGCTTGCTAAAAACGTATCAATATGAGCATTTATGACAGTGGCCAATGTCTGGGCAAAAACCTAACGAATGCCAAAGAAATGCCCATCTTGAAATACAGCAAGTATAACAGTCAACTTACATTGTCCAAAACTTCATTTTCAGCCTTTTTTAATTCAGCAGAAAGATTGGTGAGTATGTACTATTGAAACAAGACTAGGTTGATCAGAGCTGATACTCTGATTGCAGACTGCTACAGCGGTAGTGAAACGATTGTGTGAGATTCTCGTTGGGGAAAGTGGTACGTACATCCTTCAGAACCAATCAGAAGTTACCCTGGAGGATTAGGCAGAACAGTAAGTAGTAGCCATGGCTTTTATTAACATTAAAGGTTTGAATGTAGCAGACACATGCAAATGCAATAGTAGAGATTGCATCTTTCCTATGTTGATTTATCAGCTTTACGTGCTCTTACATGTTTGATCGCCAAAAGGGCTTAGTATCAGTTGTACAATCTTTCTAACCTTAAAGTTCCTGGCTCAGGAAAGATGGCCTTTGCTACTGTAGCCACATTTTTAACACATGGCTCGCTATTTGGGGAAAAAAACTTTTTTTTTATAGCAGGTTTCCTTACAAAGGAAAGAGCAAGTCGTAATGTTAATTTGTTGTAATACCATACCACTATGCTTGCAGCCTGGAGCAACTGTAACTGCTGATAGTTAAGGAGAAGGAAACACAACTATGCACTTGTAACATACAAATTTTAAGGTAATGAGTTGACTCTTGATGCCAAATGATATTCATTTAGGTGATGTTCCATGGTATGAGGGAGTTTTCTGTATCCTATTTTTTTACTTTCATCCATTTCTTAAATTGGTTTATTTTAAATTGTAAATATTTTTACAGAAGATATTGCCCATGTAAGTGTGTTTAAATATGTACTTTGCCTTACATATGTGTATCTCACAGTACTGGTAACAGAGTATGAAACCTGCTATGTCTGTTTACAAGCTATTAAATTCCTCTGGTGGCTCTGACTCATTCTAACACATTTTGCTCTGAACAACTCATTCATATATTTAGCATTTGAACCATTGTTTTCTCACTTGGAAGACATCATGCAAACCTATGTAACTAAAGTTTTATTGGGTGGGACTAGTTAAATGGAAGGGATTTTGTTTGAAGCTTTTTCAGTATTTTGGATGTACAGTTGATGAAGTAAGAGAATGTGAATGGTATCTCCTTTGTGCAATGACTGACGAAACACTACAAGTTGGATGGGACGGTAGGTAGCCTTCAACCCCGTTAGTATCTGAGTTTGGAACTGCTGGTGTCTTTTGGCTCCCACCACTAAGAGGATAACTAACCCTGAAATTCTAGCACTTGAATTTTAGGCCAGCATTAACATATTCCTGGATGAAAAGCCATGCAATACTACTTGACTTGGAAGAAGCCAAATAGGAAGGAGTGGAGACTAATTTGCAGCTCTAATGACTCAAGCAGACTTTGGGTCGATGAACGACATCGCGCTCCAGACCAAGATCTGTGCCGAGACTTCGAAGTCGGGGTATCAAATATACTGTAATTCAGTAAGATTTCAGCAGGGATAAAGAAACTGCCTTGCACCAGTAGAGCAGTACATACCACTGGTCTGGCCTCGTGTCACCCACTGGCACAGGTAACGCGTGTCAGTGTCTCGTGTCACTTTCAAGCAGAAGAGAGGACTAGATCAAACGCGCACATTCTCTCACTAAAGCCTGAATTGTAACATTTCAGCATTTTACAAAGCAATGCTGAATGCTGTAGTCTTCATTCAAAAAAAAAAAAAAAAAAAGAAAAATTTTAATTGGTGGATTTTATCAAACACTTGATTGACTTTTAAATTTTGAAAGTCAGTTTAGATGACGATATCGGGGGTTTTACTATGGCTGCATCAAACTGTTGTGTACGTTTCCTTGAGTTAAGTAATTCATCACTTGGGTAAGTTCAGCTTAAGTTTTATAAGGATTCTTTTCTCTGCTGTTCTCCCCTGAAATACAGCGAATGACTTCCTGAAGAGACAGACTGTTTACTAGAAAGCCTTTGTGCATTACCCATTTATCGATATCAGGAAATCACGGGGGCTCTGTGTTTAGAGATCTACTGCAGAAGTGTGGAAATATGGATTTGATAAACTAGTGCCTATGATTTACTTAACTTATGTTTGATATAGTAGTAAGGGTTTTATGAATGTGGATTACTTTTTGTGCCAACAGCTCAGAATTGTTGTATGTGTGTAGGCAGAAGGACTTGTTCTGCTTCCAAAGTTATTTAATTTTTTTTGTGTTTGAATGTTTTTGTAAGTGTTGAAAGTGTAAAAAAAAAATATATAAAAAATATTCTTACCACAAAATACTTTCTGGATCATTATTTTTATAAAAAATAGCTTTTAAAAGCTTTTAGAAATTTAGAGGGTATTTTTTAGGGCTTTTTTGGTTTGTTGGGTTGTTTTTCAAGAACTGGACTCCCTTTTTCCATAAGTTACCAACACCAGCTTCTGCTCCTCTGTAATTCATGAACTGAGCAGAGCACTGTGTTTGGGTGAAATGTGTGATGTCACTGACTTTCCCTTTTCTTGGTATTAATAAAGTTAAGCTAGGTTTACTTCTAGGTGGTGACCACTTACTGTTAAATCTGTTTAACAAAATTTAACCAATGAGACTCACCTTTAATTGTTTATCCCAGCGTAGTCCCCTATTTTGTAATTAAACCACTAGATTAAAATGTTTCCCCCTGGCTGGCTGACCTACTTACGCAGAGCTGGCTTCACACCTACTGCTTTAAAATGTGATCCACTTACTGCTCCCTTCACCGCTTCTTAGTCCTGCTGTCTGGTACCACTTGTCCCACGCCCCTGCAGGAAAATAGAGCAGTGTCAAAATCACAGGCAATTAATAGTCTTTCTGCTTCCCTTTTACTGGGTTTCTGTAACAAACTCTTCTATATTAAACTCTTGCTTATAATTAGCATCATCCTATCGCAAGGCTCCAGATAGAAAACTGCAGAAATAATATTTTCTTATTTTGATCTAAGGTATGAGAGCTCCTTTGGGTTTGGTACAGGAGTGCTAGGTCATGTTTTATTTGGTGATGTGTTACCCTCTAGGAGTCTGATTGCAACCATGAAGAAAAATAAGGGATGAACCTGTGAGGAGGCAGGAGGTTGAAGCTTTTTATGCTGCTGAAGTTTTGAGGTGGCTGCAGAGCGTGAAGGTTTAATCATTTAAAAATACTACAAATTACAAATATTTGGGGTCCGGGAGATGGGGAGGGACTCTTTATCAGGGAATGGAGCAATAGGATGAGGTTCTAAACTGAAAGAGGGGAGATTTAGAGTAGGTATCAGGAAGAAATGTTTCACTGTGAGGGTGGTGAGACACTGGAACAGGTTGCCCAGAGAAGCCCCATCCCTGGAGGTGTTCAAGGCTGGATGGGGCTTTGAGCAACCTGCTCTAGTGAGAGATGTCCCTGCCCATGGCGGGGGGGTTGGAACTCAGTGACCTCTAAGGTTCCTTCCAACCCAAACCATCCTATGAGGATAAAAACACGTGGGAGACAAACATGACAGTGATACGTCTTTAGTTCTCCCTTTGGATCTGTAAGAACAGGATTAAACTTGAGGTGTTTTTTTTTTTTTTTAATTTTTACTTTTTAAGTAAAACAGGTGTGAAGTGAGATGGCTTTGATTTAAAAAACAAACATAGGGACCCACCTGCTGTTGAGCCTGTGTGTGCGGTTGTGCAGCAGGAGGCTGACACCTACAGGCCATCTCTCTGCAGTCCTGTTTCGGGAGGCTGGGAGCCGGCTGCTCTCCGGAGTATCCACGTTTCACACAGAACTTCACGCTGAAGGAGGTGCTCTCTGCTCCAAGAGCTAAAGAGCAGAAAGGAGCAGATCCCATTAGACACACTCTCCACGGGATCGTTTGATGACAGTGTTTTCAGCCCTGGGATCTCACACAGTGGTACTGGGCACCGCTGTCCTCTGTACACTAACCTCTGTGACTACATGAAGCACTTACAGGACACAAAACGTAACCATAGTGGTTAAACTGATTTGTGGAGCTTCAGCAGGATTAAAGGAACAGGCAGCTATAATGATTTCCTACCAGGAAAGTGATTTTTCATAGAATTGTCTAGGTTGGAAGGGGCCTTTAAGATCATCTAGTCCAACAATCAGCACAATTCTGATAAAAACCATCACTAAACCATGTCACTGAGCACTATGTCTACACGTCTTTTAAATACCTCCAGGGATGGTGCCTCAACCCCTTCCCTGGGCAGCCCATTCCAACGCCTAAACTGCAGTGCAAAAATTTTTCCTAATATCCAACCTGAACCTCCTCTGGTGCATCTTGAGGCTGTTTCCTCTTGTCCCACCGCCTGTGACTTGGGAGAAGAGACTGACACACCTGCCCCTGCCCAACTTGGTGCATCATCCACAGCTGTTACAGTCAATTCAATCAATCAATCAATCAAAATGACTGGCTCTGAAAGCCCGAGACTCTCTCTGCAGTGTGGCACTTTCACAGGGGACAAAAGTGGGCTGTATCTTTCACAAGACTAAGACTAAACAAAAGAAGATACTTCAGCTGTAATCTGCTCCTGTCATCAGCACAAACGTGGGTAATCATATAAGTCCATTTTTCTTTTGGAAAATTATTTTAATACCTTACAAAAATAAAGCTTAGAAGAACATGGCATGTGATGCCTTCTCCCCCAGTGTTCAGCCCTCCTTATTACTTTGAAATTACCCCAAAAGCTTAACTCTGCTGTCGGCTACGGCAGGTGAGAGTCAAAAAATGAGCATCTTGGGGGTGAGTGGTGTTTGCCTTCCTGAGCAGGTGACAGCGCCCCATCCCCAGCATTACTCCACTTTCATGCACAACACACAGAATACAAACTATGAATTCTCCTGTGCTGTTCTTCTCCATTCTCTTTGCCATGATTTTCTTGGGACTGTAGCCAAAATTGCACCTTTTCACAGCCCTTCTCTGAGAAACAGTTTAAAAACCTTGCAACAACTCGGTCAGACAAAGTGCCCCCCCCTACACCCGCCCAGCACGTGGTCTCCAGAAGCCCAACACCAGCTGCCTCCATGGTCCTCCAGCAACAAGGCTGTGAGAAGACCCAGGTGAACACCAGCCACCCCTGGCCAGCTCAACTTCAGAGAGAGTTTGGGAGATACTTGGCATCATCTATTTTTTTCAGGCTTTCTTACCACTGTGTCCATTGAGTTTAATGGAATCAATTCTCACGTGAATGGTAACTCATTTCTGAAAACACCAGCACGTCTTGGTCTGACAGAGCTATTTTCTTGCTAAAACTATTTGGTGAAATTAGTCAGGTAGTAACTTTTCTCTTGGTTTCTACATAAGCTTGCTTTTTTTATATTCAAGGAAGGAGCATTCATAGAGCAATTCAACTGGTTTCTTTCTGTAAGAGTGGTTAATGTCTTCAAAAACATTAAGGTGGTCCAAGTTAGGGTTTGGGGATTTTTTTGCATGAGAGGAAGGTGAATAAGGACACTTGTGTTCTGTATGGTTCCTTGCCTCTGTCCTGACTAAGAGAAAAAGGTGCTTATCAATATGAGAGTAGGTCACCAATGACTTACTTGGGACTCTGCGTGGCCTTGGCTGCTTGAAGCAAGGAACCTCTGGGTCATGACGTGCTGGTGGTGGGACTGTGGTCAGGGGGACGGGCACGCTGGGCTTCCTGGGGCTGGGTGTCCCCGGCTCTAACCCAGCATCACTGCACTCTGACTTCTGGCAGTCTCCTCTGTGTGTCTCCAGGCACTCGTCCTCAGTTGTGTGTTCCCCTGCAGACACTACAGCAAACACAAGCCATTATGCAATGTACAAGCCATTATAAAAGCTTTGTTATCTGACACAGCCCTACCTCCCCTTCACTCAGCAGGGTTAATGCTGCCACATCATTTCACTGCTGCTCTCGGTGCTTCAGGTGGGTGCCAAAATGCTGGTGGGAGAAGGTGATGCTGGAGCAGGCTCTGGATTACAAGGAGTTTGGTTTGCATCCTCTGCAGGGTGGAGGGTAAGTCCAGCTGGTTCCTGGCTGATAGAATCACAGAATATTCATGGTTGGAAGGGACCTTTGAGATCACTGAGTCCAACCACAAAAAAAACCCAATAAACCACACACCCACACACCACACCCACACACCAACCATCTCAGGCACTAGAGCATGCCCTGAAGTGCCATGTCTACACATTTCTTAAATACCTCCAGGGATGGTGACTCTACCACCTCCCTGGGCAGGCTGTTCCAGTGCCTGACCACTTTCTCAATGAAGTCATTCTTCCTAATATCTAATCTAAACCTCCCCTGCTGCAACTTCAGACCATTTCCTCTGGTCCTGTCATTATTCACTTGGGAGAAGAGGCTAACACCCACCTCTCTACAACCTCCTTTCAGGTAGTTGTAGAGGGCAATAAGGTCCCCCCTCAGCCGCCTCTTCTCCAAACTAACCATGCTCAGAACCCGGGACATGCCAAGTTAAATGAGCACCATGTAACCTTTCTTCTTCAAGCAGAGCTGGTTGTCTCATTGAAGATCAGCAGGACAGGCCCATCTTAAATATATCTTTATCACTCTCCTCCTTGAGAAATTCAGAACCTGGGACATGCCAAGTTAAAGGAGCACCACGTAACCTTTCTTCTTCAAGCAGAGCTGATTGTCTCATTGAAGATCAGCAGGACAGGCCCATCTTAAATATATCTTTATCACTCTCCTCCTTGAGAAATGAAATTTTATTAAAGCACATGCTGCCACTTGGAGTCCTCTCCCAAAGAAAAGGGCAGTG